TGATCCCTAATTCTGTCTTCCCGCAGTTGTGCTTTGTCTCCTGGTTGGCACCTTTTGTGTACCTCATGTTTCTTTGGCTGGTGATACGGTTTGGTTGTGTCTTCACCCAAATCTCACCTTGAATTGTAATAATCCCCACGTGTCAAGGGCAGGGCCAGGTGGAGATATTGAATCATGGGACCTGTTTCTCCCATGCTTTTCTCGTGGTAGTAAGTCTCACAAGATCCGATGGCTGTATAAGGGGTTTCCCCTTTTGCTTGGCTCTCATGCTCTCTTGCTGCCACCAGGTAAGGCATCGGTTGCTCTTCCTTTATCTTCTACCATGATTGTGAGGCCTCCCCAGCCATGTGGAACTGTGAGTCCATTAAAGCCCTTTCCTTTGCAAATTACCCAGTCTTGGGTATGTCTTTATTAGCAACATGCGAATGGACTAATACAGCTGGGCTTTTTGTCCCAGCCCTCTCTGTAACACCAGCTATGCCCAGGAGCTGTTTGACAACTTTGCACCTCAATAGCACCCACATCTATCATGGCTCTCCAGCACAGCCCCAGTCAGTCATCCTGACACATGTGCAAACCTGGAAGGAAAAGGAAGATTACATTCCATAGGGCACTCCTTGACCATTGGGATATGGGAGCTGATTTTTAGAATGCCCCCCTCTTTCATGCCTCAGGAGACTATTTCGAAGTATATTCTGCACAACTCTTCAGAGAGTCCCCAACAGGATTGTGTTCCTATTGCCCTCAACAGTAACCAGCTAATAATACACCCTTGGATGGGCTTTCACTCCCTGCACCTTGAAATTATTTCCCAAAATGTATCGCCTGCAAACAAGTCCTCATCTCAGACTCTACTAAGATGCAAGACCACAACGGTTTAGATGGCAGAGGAAATTACACAGGGGAACCAAACTTCCACAGTCAGAGGCTGCACTGCTAGACTCAACAGGTCAGCCTGGAAACAAGCCCCATTGTTACAGGATTATGGAAGGAGATGGTGTCCAGCATGTTCTGTGGCAAGTAAGCACAAACCTAGAAGTCCCAAGGAAGGAAAAAGTCCCAAGATTGAATGATGTCAGTCTGAAGGGCCATCTCTGTGCAGCAAGGCCATCTGCTGCATCTAACTTAGCTTAATATCAATAGCTAACATAAATGAGCCCTCTCTTATAAAGATGCTCATCTATAGTTAGAATTTAATCCTTTTGGACTCGTAGGTCCCAGTCACTTGGCGGTCTATGGAGCTATTGTGGGAGCTCATAATAATTTATATAAGCATCATATCTTGTCTGGAGAGGGAATAAATGTCTCATCATTTCTTTGGACAGCCTATGTGTATACGTGCTGTTTCAATTCATCAAATAAAAACTCATTCTAAAAATGTTACTGATTTTTTTATAGCTTTTGGCCATTATATATCTTCTCTATCAATAATAGTATCCTCGTTTAAAGGGTATCTGCAAATTACATTAACATTAGAAAGGGATCCTCATATTCCAAAACTTTTATAACACCTGTTTTAAGTGATATTAAAATAAAACATTGCTGTAGTTGCTTAATGATAGCTTCTAAATATCAAGTGTCTATATATACGTATATATAGTATTTATATATACAGTGTCTATAGACACTACATTTATATGAGTGTTTATATATACAGTGTCTATATATAGATTTATATGAGTTTCTATATATAGATATGTCTATGATTTACATTTATATGAGTGTCTATATATAGATGTATACATATATACATGTATATATACTCTATATATGTATATATATGTAGTGTTTATATGTAGACACTCGATGTTTAGAAGCTATCATTAAGCAATGACAGCATTGCTTTATTTTAATATCACTTAAAACAGTGATTTTAAGTGATATTTTAATATCACTTACAACAGGTGTTATAGAACTTTTGGAATATGAGGATCACTTTCATATATATATATATATCTTGAATCTTTCAACAACCCCATAAAAGAGGTATTATTAGTTCCACTTTAAAAGTAAGCAAACAGATTCAGAATGTGTAGGGAACTTGCCCAAGACCATAGAGATAAGTGTTGGAACTAACACCAGGATGGAGCCCTGTGAGCCCTTCCTGTCACCATCATTCACTCACTGAATAGGCATGTTGGGGACGTGTGGGGACATGCCAAGTGCTGTGCACTTTGGGTAAAGCATAGTCATTATCCAACCCTTGCTCCTGGAAAAATTTTCCTTCTGCCACAGTTTAATTCAATTATTCTTCTTGCTCAGCTTAAGTGGGTTTAAGGTGTAACAGAATCTGACCTTCTTTAGCTTCTTTTCACAGCCCCTAAGACGCATTCTGCCTATCCTCTTGCAAGGATTTCTTGCTCTTTTATCACCTGTTTGTTCTCTGGCCTCTAGTTCACCTACAAAGAAAGATTAAAGGGGAGACAAACTCAGTTATTTGAGTCTTTCCAGCTGCCCCAACTTCTTCCTTCTGCCAGGGAAGAGAGCTTGGTCCTATAAGGAGGAATCAAAGAGTTGGCAAGAACAGATTCCCATCGTTTCCAGCCATACTGCCTTGAGGCACACAGAGGTGGCAAAAAAAAAAAAAAAAAAAGTGCCTGGTCAGGTTTTCTGTGTGTGTCCTTTGTGTTCCAAAACCAGAGAGACCTGCTTCCCAAGCCTCCACGTGCCTTCTCCATTATCACCAAGCACAGCTAAACCCTGGGCAAGCCCTGCCTGTAAAATACCGCCAGGGAACAAACCCAGCAACCTTGTCATTTATCAGAATGATGATCAGCCCAGCAACAGTCAGGCTGGACCAAATCAACTTCAAGGTATTTGAAATGTATAATCCATTAAGTAAATTGATCTGTCACAATGCCCTGGGTCATTCCCTGGCAAGGTAGCCTATGATGAATAGCTGCTAAGGGGCAGAACATAGGTAGTATTCTGAGGTCCATCAACAGACAGACTGCAAATAAGTGCCAAGACAGTTATAGGACACCTCCAGGAAGCACTTTCAGGCATGCCTTGATATCACAGTGACAAGAAAAGTTCAGCATCACAGGACCTGCAGCTGGTTTTGATCAGAGTTGTCTTCTCCTGACTCCAGGCAATGCTGTCACAAAACATGCCTGGCTCAGCTAAAATGGAAGTTGTTCTTTTTAGGGTTTTTTTTTGGGGGGGGCGGGGGGGCAGATCTGGGGAGTTTTTTTGTTTGTTTTTTGTTTGTTTTGTTTTGTTTTGTTTGAGACAGGATCTTGCTCTGTCACCCAGGCTGCAGTTGGCGCAATCTCGGCTCACTGCAGCCTCAACCTCCTGGGCTCACGTGATCCCCCTGCCTCAGTCTTCCAAGTAACTGGGACTACAGGCATGCACCACCAGATCCAGTTAATTTTCTTTCACTTTTTATAGAGATTGGGTGCGGGGAGGTCTCCCTATGTTGCCCAGGCTGGTCTTGAACTCCTGGACTCAAGTGATCCTCTTGCCTCTGCCTCCCAAAGTAGTAGGATAACAGACATGAGCCACCACACCTGGCTGGATGAAGTTCTTGAGTCTTAAAGAAGCTGAGTGACAAATGCCTTGTGACCCCACAATGTAGCTCCTTTAGGAATCCATCTCAATGAAAGCAAAGATTTGGCTACAGGTTGTTTCCTAGAGTGTTATTTGTGGATGATGTTGATGATGGTGATGATGGATCAAGCTTGGCACTGATCCAAGCACTTCGTGTATATTAACCCAAGTTATCTTAACAGCAACCCCCTGAAGTAAAATATTATTATTAACAGTATTGTCATAATTCATTGTAGTAACCTCATTAGCAAAATATTATAATTATCAATATTATTATAAATAAAGTAGTATTATTACAACTTTACAAATGAGAAAACTGAAACCTACAGCAGTCAAATAATTTTTTTAAAAACTCTGCAATTATTAGTTTATTAGTATCATCCAGGACTCAGATGTTCAGTATTCCTCCTGAAATTACATAAACAAATGCAAATGGAAAGAATCCAAGTCAAAATTATGTAACAAAACAGCACTCCATCACAAAAGTGTGTAAAATTACAAGAACGCTATTTTAAAATACTGGCACTTTAAGAAAACGATAATCTCGAAAACCACAAAATTGCCAAATTGTTCCCTAAACTGCTAAGCAGATAATGACTAATGAGTTTGTTTTGTAAAGAAAAATCATTCAAATAAATTGAATAATTCATACTGAGATGCAAAGTTTAAGTATCTTCTTTCCTCCTATCTACTTGGATTTATAAAGCGGCAAACCATAATATAGGAAAATATACCCTATTTTGAATGTGGCATCTTCATTTTAAAAGCTGGCCCATTTAATTAAAAATACTTGTAATGGAAAGTCTCGTTTCCTGAGCAGTCCATATTGAGATAAATGGGAAAAGACATCTATAGCCAGCATTTTCATAGTCTTCACTGAGACTAATGTCAACAAAAAATTTAATATGGCAGTCTTGTATTTTAAGCTCACGCTTTTGGGGATACATTCTCAGGTCTTCTTTAATGTGGGAACTGCAAAATATAACTGCCATTACATGGTAATGGGAGTTAAAGAATAGAGTCCTCATGTAAAGGTTAGAACATACTTTTCTATTAGTCCTTCAAGGACAGATTTTCAAAATGTTTGATTCTAATAATCCCATGCTTTGAGTAGATTGATTACTCTTCAGTTTGTAAATGTAAGTGGGCTATGTGAAATTTCTTAACTGATCAAGATTTTCGATGTTCAGTTATGGATGAAAACTATCTCAACTTAAATTTATCCCCATTATGGTATGCAGGGTGTGTAGACAAAAGCTTTTTATTAGCTAACTATATGAAAGGATAAACACTGTAATAATTCATGTGATTCAAAATGGGCAAAAGCAAAAGACTAGCTACCCCTCAAGAAGAAAAATTTCAGACCTATGAAAAGGACAACAATACTAATTAAAAAATTGTATTTACTTAGAAGCATTCAGAATGGCAACAAAACAGCTGCAACTTTGTTTTTTTTTTTTTTTTTTTTTGCAATTACAGAGTGGTATTCAGTTAACAGAACAACAATTATTTCGTATAAGCTGCATCAGAGACAACTGAAGATGAAAAAACTACCATCCCCATATATAACTAATTTGTGCTGTGCACCAACAAGAACTTGCTTTAAATTTCCATGCCAATTTACAACCCCCATACTATACTAGGCAAGGTTAGTGGCTATTGAAAATACCACCAGGACAGGGCTATCTAAAGACACATTCGGTAGTGTGTTAACTATACAAAAAAAGACACTGTACACTTTAAAAACAAACCTTACACAGCCTTACATTTCAATTTTTTTCTTTAAAAGGAGTGAGTTGTGTACAGGGGGGTTAAATGCTTTATAGACAAGAAAAAAAAAACTTCGCTAGAACCAACTTATTCATCATCATCATCTTCTGCTTCATCTTCATCTTCTTCATCTTCCTCCTCCTCCTCATCCTCTTCATCTTCCTCCTCTTCCTTCTTTTTCTTGCTTTTTTCAGCCTTGACAACTCCTTTTTTGCTGCATCAGGCTTTCCTTTAGCTCGATATGCAGCAATATCCTTTTCATATTTTTCCTTCAGCTTCGCAGCCTTCTTTTCATAAGGCTGCTTGTCATCTGCAGCAGTGTTATTCCACGTGTCTCCCAGTTTCTTCGCAATATCACCAGTGGACAGGCCAGGATGTTCTCCTTTGATTTTTGGGCGATACTCAGAGCAGAACAGGAAGAAGGCAGAAGGAGGCCTCTTGGGTGCATTGGGATCCTTGAACTTCTTTTTTGTCTCCCCTTTGGGAGGGATATAGGTTTTCATTTCTCTTTCATAACAGGCCTTGTCCGCCTTTGCCATATCTTCAAATTTCCCTTTCTCTTTAGCAGACATGGTCTTCCACATCTCTGAGCACTTCTTAGAAAACTCTGAGAAGTTGACTGAAGCATCTGGGTGCTTCTTCTTATGCTCCTCCCAACAAGTTTGCACAAAAAATGCATATGATGACATTTTGCCTCTCGGCTTCTTAGGATCTCCTTTGCCCATGTTTAGTTATTTTTCCTCAGCAAGGCACAGAGTCGCCCAGTGCCCGTCCGGCTCTCACTTGCCCCAGCGCTGTCTCTATGGAGCTCAATGTACTGCAATGGCTGTGAGAGCGGGAGCCAGACGCAGCCTCCTCACTCTCTCCGCTCTGTCCAAATAATTTTGTCAATATGATGCATCCAGTAAAAACAATCTGCCAGGCTGGGCACAGCGGCTCACATCCCAGCACTTTGAGAGGCCAAGGCGGGTAATCCCAGCACTTTGAGAGGCCAAGGCGGGTGAATCATGAGGTCAGGAATTCAAGACCAGCCTGGCCAACAAGGTGAAACCCCATCTGTACTGAAAATACAAAAATTAGCTGGGCATGGTGGTGGGCACCTGTAATCCCAGCTACTTGGGAGGTTGAGGCAGGAGAATCGCTTGAAATCAGAAGGCAGAGGTTGCAGTGAGACAAGATCATGCCACTGCACTCCAAGATCACGCTACTGCACTCTGGCCTGGGCAAAAGAGTGAAGTTCTGTCTCAAAAAAACAACAAAACAAAACAAAATCTGCTTTCAGAGGCTGCTCTCTTAAGTGTCTCTGCTAGTTGCAAGAAACCAACCACCCAGGTATGTTTTATCTTTCAACTATGTAGAGTTTTCAATTTTATTCCCTTTAATCCTCAAGAAAGAATGATAGGGAATCCATAACAATATTTCTGCAATAAAATTACCACATTAACTTTGAGATGAAATAATATAATCTTCAGGCAAATAAAGCATTATTTGCTTTTTCTAAGCATATTTAAGCTACTCTGGTTGTCAGAAACCAGAACTCGATTCTTAAAATCAGTATGCACTATGGAAAGCCATGTGATTTGGCGAAGTTTCTATCATTGCATGAGTTGTCTGGTTTTAGTTGATGAAGTGAAAAGAACAAAATGTAAACTAATGTAACTCAAGGCTTTGGGGTAAGTCTGAGCATATGTGTCATTATTTCATCATATTCCCAGGAGAACACTAAGAGGTGTATATGATTAGTCCCATTTGCAGAGGTAGGAAAGAAAGGCTTAGAGAGTTAAGTAATTTTCCCTATACTCTGAACTGAATTGTATCTCCCCAAAATTCATATGTTCAAGCCCTAACCCTCAATGTGACTATGTTTGGAGCAAGGAAATCATTAAGCACCAGAAAGCTCAATCCTGACATGCTCGCTCTCCATGTGCACAGAAAAAGCCTATGTGAAGACACGGGGAAAAGGAAGCCATTAACGAGGCAAGAAAAGAGCCCTCAGCAATAACTGAATCAGCTGGCATTTCAGTCTGGGACTGCTAGCCTCCACAGCTTTGAGAAAATAAATTTATATTGTTAAAGCTGCCCAATGTTCAGTATTTTGTTATAGCAGCCTGAGAAGACAGATACACTCAAGATCACACAGCTACCAAACAGTAGAACAGAACCGAAACTCATGCTTTCTTCATTGCATCAGGCTGTCCATATTTGGCATTAGTGGTTCCCATTCAACAGCAGTTACTTTTCTTCTTTCTTACTTAGAGAACCCAATTGTCTTCTGGCAGCCTATAGGCTGGTCCTCTTCTTCTTGTCAGGGATTAAATTCGGTATATGTTGTAATTTGGGCAATGAGATGGGAAGCAAGTCCGCTGAAAGGCTTCTGAGAAAGATTTCCTTGTCAAAAAAATTTAGAAAGAAATGGTTTCTTTTCTGCCACCAGACATGAACATGTCTGCACTTGAGAGCTGGATCTGTGGCAGCCACCTTGTAAGCATGAGGGGGTTACTCTGAGGGAAAAATGCCAAAGACTACAGAATGATGAGATGGAAAGAATCTTGTCATTTGTCCCCTTCAAATCTCATGTTGAAATTTGATCTCTAATGTTGGAGGCAGGGCCTAATGGGAGGAGTTTGGGTCATGGAGGCAGGCCCCTCATGAATAAATTAGTGCCCATCAGGTGCTTGTCGACATTATAGAGCTTCTACAGAAACCAACTTGGAGTTTCTCTCATTCTGACATATTGTTGGTGAGCTATAAGTCCTCTTATTGTTCATGCTATCATGAGTAGTGTTTTCTCTCCCTTTCTGGTACTTTCTATTCCTTCCTTCCTGACTCATATGATCAGTATTTCAAGCCTACAAACACATAGCTATGCAGATGTCTCTGAAGGAGCTATAAATTCCCAGTTAAGCTTGCAGCTTCTCCTCCACATCTCTCAGGGGGCCAGAACCTGAACCACCCATGACTAGGATTTCATCCCTCCTCATTGTGTGCCTTCACAATGTTAGAATTTGCTTATGCTGATACAAAATCCAGTGTTTGTTACCAGTTGGTCCTATTTCTACCCACTAAGCAAATATCATCTCTGTTCTTTAACTTTTAAGTTTATACAATGAAGGCGTGTCTGAACTGAGCTCTGGGTTTAGACAATGGGATAAGTAAAATAGGGTCCTTGCCCCATTAATTATTCATAATTTTTCACAACAGCCATTCAGATTTTGAAGGAAACTATCATACTTTCTATCCCCAAATTGTCAGTTCCCAAAAAATATAGACTTTATTTATACTTCTTTGCAATACTGGCTTATTATAGGCGTGTAACAGATTTCATGGGTTGAATGAATCAATGAATGAATGGTAGAAGAAATGGAACATTTAACAAATGCCAAACACAGGGATATATATATATATATTCTGCTCATGAAAGAAGCCAGAAAGAGAAGACATAGATATAAGAAAAAAATGGAGAAAGCAAGAGACAAAGTTCAATTAGGCCCAACCAGTATCATATAGCTTATAAGTAGTATTTGAAACATGAATTGGCATAAAAGAGACTATAGTCAAGGGAAAATTCTTTTGCCTGATGCTATAGTTTGGATGTTTGTCCTCTCCAAATCTCATGTTGAAATTTGATCCCTAATGTTGGAGGTGGGGCCTATTGGGAGGAGTTTGGGTCATGGAGGAGACCCCTCATGAATAGATTAGTGACCACTTGGTGCGTAGTGAGGGAGTTCTTGCTCTGTTACTTATCCAGAGAGCTGGTTGTTAAAAAGAGCCAGGCAGCAACCCCTCCTCTCTCTTGCCCCCTCCCTCACTTTGTGTTCTCTCTGCACGCCAGCTCCCCTTCGCCTTCCGCCATGAGTGGAAGCCACCCAAGGCCCTCACCAGATGCCCAATCTAGAACTTTTCCAGACATCAAAATCATAAGCCAAATAAATTTGAATTTTTTCCTTATAAATTACCCAGTTTCCAGTATTTCTTTATAGCAACACCAAAGGAAGACACCCACTTTGTGCCAAATACCACACCAGATGCATTCACAGACATTCTTCTACTTAATCCTCTAATAACTGTTCGGGACAAGTATTGTCCATGTTTTAGACAATGAGGAAACCAAGGCTCAGAGAAGTTCAGAAACATGTTCAAAATCACACAGGCAGTGAGTGGTAGGGCAGAGATTCAAACTTTTTGGTCCCTGAACCCATGTTGTTTCTACCATTCAATGTTCCCAAAGTAGTATAACAGTGTGCACCTAAAACAACAACAAAAAAACCACCATTGCAAACTATACCATGGTTTTACGGAAAGCAATAAATGCCCATCCTCCAGGTACCTGAGCATGACTTAAAAGTAGGGGTGAATCCTGTCCACGTGTCAGCATCTGGTGTCAAATCATCCCAATGAACAGTAGCACAAGATCTCAACCTTTGGTTTCACTTATTTTACTCCTCTCTTTACCACTATTAATAGCCACAAATAGTAAATTCTAATGGAGCCCATAGGATTGCTTTTAAATAAGCAAGGATTTAACTCAAAGGTGGATTTCCTCAGCATGTAATGCCTGAGATGTTAGATTTTGTCTATTCCTGTAAATGCTGTAGCAGCTCTGCAGTAAGCTTCTCACAGCTAACTGCTTTTGGGGTTAATGAACTATTTCAACTGTGCGTCGGCTCCTCCTCCCTTCTCAGGATACCCGTTGCCACATAAACACACCATTCTGAACAATACCACCTTATAAGCAGATGGTGTTGAATTAGCACAATAATCCACAGGTCTGAGCTGGCAGCAGGAGATAGTCAGGGATGGTGGGATTTGAGAATTTGAGCTCTACAGACTGTTCAGGTCTCTCTGGAGTATGTTACAGGGTATGAGTTCTGCTCTTCAGAACACTGGCAGCTGTGATAAATGCATTTCCACTGATCATTTCAACCTGCAATTTGCAACATCTGATTCCTTTTATGAGGTTTGGCTATTTCAATGGTGAGACAAAATCAACCTCTCACTTGGGCTTTGAATTTTCATCATTTTTAAACTTCTGTTCCCCTCACCCCCAAAGAGATTTCCAAAATTTCCCTTTCAGCTGCCCTTCTTCCCCCATACTTCATTAGATAGTATTCCCCCATGACACTTGCAAAATTCTCCCCAGATACCCAAAGAATGGGACTTAGGAGTGTATTTCTTAATCGCCCTGTCTTCATTTTGCTTCAGTCAATACGCTTAAGGCACAAGTTATTAAAATGTGTATTACTGACTTGACTTTAGGCTTTGAAACTACAAAGAAGTCTTCTCTTTACACAGCTAGTGGAGATTGCTGAAAATAATAAGGCCCAGGATGGGAAAATTTCCATTTCATCCTTTTTTAGAGATTCCTCTGAAAAGAGAAGATAAGCTGTGCCAGAAAATAAAAGTTACCAGGAAGTATCTGCAGAGTGTTCCTGGAGGCAGTTCTCCTCTGGAATCCGAACTGTCAGCTGCACATGGAGCCCGGCTGACTTATGGAGAGCGTGGTGCGGGATGGTTTGGTATTCTGCAAAGGCAGGGGCATGTGTTGGGGGCCAAAGCGTGCTGGAGACTTTGGGGTCTGCCAGGCTTTCACTCTCTCCAGATCGCCCCTGCCTCCCAGCAGGAGCTGACCCAGGCTTAGAAAAGGTTAACTAGCACAAACAGCCATCATTTGTGACGAGTGGGAAAGCCCCATGTGTTGCCCCAGCTTCTCATTATGAGGCATGAGGGGTGGGTTTTCTCTGTTATTCAGACGGTTGGCACAGGGTAAATACCCAGCATGCTTCTGCTTTAGGAACTGGAAGGGCCTGTCTCCCAGCAAGTGTTCAGGGGGATAAAACCCACGCCATCAGAAACCCTCCTATTGGTGAGATGGGGGAGGTGAGGGGTGAAGG